AGTCTGACTCTCAACCGACTGAGCGACCCAGGCGTCCCTCTCCTACCCAGTTTAAAATCTCACTTCCAGGATTATGGATCCCAAAGTACCACGGCAGGCAGAGGAAGTCGTTTTTTTGCTCGAGGCCTTACATATATTGGCTATTTAATAAATACTTTCTTTAGGGGCACCTGGGTGGCTCAGTCGGTTGAGCATCCGACTTCAGCTCAGGTCATGATCTCTCATGTTTGTGAGTTTGAGCCCCGCTTCGGGCTCTGTGCTGACAGCTCAGAGCCTGGAGCCTGCTTTGGATTCTGTGTCCCCCCCCCCCCCCCGGCCCCTACCCTGCTTGTGCTCTCTCTCTCCCTCAAAAATAAATAAACATTAAAAATTTAAAAATAATAAATGCTTTCTTTAGTGCCACCACAGACTCCCAGATTATGTGTAAAAAATGCAACCAGAATGCACACATCAAACACATTATTCGAACAATTCTCATATTCTCAGAGAATATGAGACATCTGTCACACTATAACAGATAACTATAACTGTGCCAATGACAAACAAAATATAGCTGCCAAAGCGCACACACACACAGATCACACACAATCATTCTTTCAATAAATATTTACTGAGCTCCTACTATGTGCCAGGCACTAGGATACAATTGGTGAGCTAAAAAAAAAAAAAGAGAGAGAGAGAGAGAGAGAGAGAGAGAGAGAGAGAGTCCCTGCTCTCATGGAGAATCAAGTCTAGTAGGGGTAGACAGACATTCATTTAAAAACTTTACAAATAAATCATAGCATGCACACTACAAGATAACATGGGAACATACCCAAAGCAAACATAACACATACACATAGACCCAGAAGGCAGGTCCTCCCAGAGACAGGAGAAGACCTTCCCTCGGGTCAGCTTATGGGTCAGACCCAAGGCTGAGGGATCTTACTGACCAGTGGGAGATCTGGGTGCCCCTAGAACCTGGAGAGCAGAGACTATTTGCCATTTCACTGGGTTCGGGAACCAACCTGTGTGCAAGACTGCAGTACCCTGCAGGACATCCAGCTGAGAAAATGCACTTTTTCAATAATGATTTTTATTTTATTTTATTTTTTAATGTATATTTATTTTTAAGAGGGGGGGAGGGGCAGACAGAGAGGGGAGACAGAGGATCCAAAGTGGGCTCCGCGCTGACAGCAGAAAGCCTGATGCGGGGCTGGAACCCATGAACTGGGAGATCATGACCTGAGCCAAATTCGAACGCTTCGCTTAACCCGCAGAGCCACCCAGGCACCCCTCGGTAATTACTTTTAAGTGGTATAATCTGAACACATGGTAGGTAGAAAATTCAAAAAGTACAGTGAAAAGTAAGTTTCCCTTTCTCTTCAAACCCCATTTGCTTTCAATACATTTTGGATAGATGGGATGACTGATTGATGGTAATGGCAGGGTGGGGGGAGGGGAGAACACTTAACTTTAGATTTATGAAGCTATGGGGCGCCTGGGTGGCTCAGTCTGTTGAGCTTCCGACTTCAGCTCAGGTCATGATCTCACAGTTCCTGAGTTCAAGCCCCACACTGGGCTCTGTGCTGACAGCTCAGGGCCTGGAGCTGCTTTGGATTCTGTGTCTCCCTCTGTCTCTCTACCCCTCCCCCGCTCATGCTCTGTCTCTGTCTCAAAAATAAATAAACATTAAAAAAAATTAAAAAAAAAAGATTTATGAAGCCCCAGCTCCAAATAAATAGTGTATGCTCAAAAGAAAACACCAGTTATTTTTAAACACATAGCTCAAGAGACGAAGTACTCAAATACAAAACAGATTTTTAAGGCTGTGGGGTTAATCCTATCCAGGATAAACAGAAACAAATAGACAAAAGAAGTAAGGTGGGTCATTGAAATAAAGTTGGTTTGGGATTCCACATTCCTCCCTCTTCTTTTCTCCTCCTCTTCTGCCCACTCACCACTTTAGAAATCAAAATTCTATCCCCAAAAACTAAACTGCAAGCTTCAGGGCTCTAGCTATAGGGAAGCCTTCCCAGTGCTGGCTGCAGTATACACAGGGTAAAGAACCCTTAGAGGGCTGTTCCAACATCCCTTTGGGCTACCCCTACAGTGCTGTTTTATTATTTTAATCTTTTTTTTTTTTTAAGTTTATTTATTTTTGAGAGACAGAGAAGAGAGAAACACAGAATCCAAAGCAGGCTCCAAGCTGTCGGCACAGAGCTCAACGTGGGGCTCGAACCCACAAACCACCGCAGGATCACGACTCAAGCCGAAGCGGGCACCCAACTGACTGAGCCACCCAGGCGCCCCCCTACAGTGTTGTTTTAAATGAGTGTTGTCTCACTCAGACCATCCTTAGAGAACAAAACAAAACTGTGTGCCTGTGCCCAACAGGGGGCAGCAGCCACTCACAATGCGGAGGACTTCTCTGTCCCCAAAGGAGGACATCGATTTCAGATACCCAGTTTCCGACCTGCCCCCCCCCCCCCCCCCTCCCCATCTCGGGCTTCCAGCCTCAACCTCAGCCCCTCCCCTCCTACCCATTCACATCTGGGAGGCCACGTGGTGCTTCAGTCAGGAATATTTGCTCATCCATCTACCCAGGACACACGCAGGGTTCTTTATTAAATAGCAGGAATTGTGGTGCCCTGCACCACATCAGCAACGTGGCTTCCAGGGGAAATAAATTGTTGGCTTCTCTCTCATCCATCACTGTGCAGGAGCCCGGAAAGGAAGGAGGAAAGGCCTGGGCTGTGCTCTGTCCCAGCCAGCCTCTCCCAGGCCCCATCCCTCTGGTTCCCTTCCCCCTTGCAAGCCAAACCTTCATACAATACCACTTACTTCTTGTTCTTAGCACCTCTCACAGCTGTAGTTAGTGCTATTGTAATTATTTATATGCTTGGCTCTTTTATTTAATATTTTATTTTTAAGTCATCTCTACACCCAACGTGGGGCTTGAACTCAAAATCTCAAGATTAAGAGTCACATGCCCTACCGACTGAGCCACCCAGGTGCCCTTGCGATTAGTTCTTCAATGTCTGCCCTCCCCCAAAGGCCTTCAGGTTCGTAAGTTCCGGGCTGGTGTCCACCTCGTTCACCTCTGTCTCTTCAGCACCTAGCACGTTGTAAGCATTCAATAAAATGTTTTAAAGACATTGAGTAAACAAGGGTGAGTCTGTCTCTCAGTCCCCTGCAGTGCTGAGAACTGAAGCTGAAGGGTGTACGCATTAGGATCTACCTGGGCTCCTCTGGGAAACCTGCTTTGGGTAAGGGCTGAGGCATGGGACAAAAGGGAAGGGTTGTCTCACCAAAGTATTGGCCTCTATACAAAGCCGAAGGGCTGGGGTCATTCTTGCTGAGGAAAAGCAAAGAAGTTGGAGCTGGTGAACACTGAGCTATATCCCTCCTCCTTGTCTCACCAGCCCCATTCAGAGCCTCCAGACAGAAAAGGAGTGGGTGTATGGAGGGGGGAGAGACAGATAGACAGGCCAACAGACTGACTGGGGGTATGTGGGCTAGGACTGCTCTATCAGAGCGCGTGTGCATGAACTCCGGGGTCCCCTGGTGGGTAGAGTGAATGAGCAGGCTGGCAAGCGTTAGGGCGAGGAAGAGGTGGCCGAGAGTTGAGTGTGAGCAGAGGCAGATGGGAGCATAAGTGGGGAAGAAAGGGAGCAATTTATCCGAGCAGCAAGCACTCCTTGCGTGAGACAAAGCAGCTCCGATGCTGGGTCCGCTACGGGCGGCTACGACAGCAGTGAGAAATGCCTGTAATTAGGAGGCTGGCAGTTCTCTGGGCCTCAGCCCAGAGTGACTATGCAGCAAGAATTTCTGAGCCAAGTTGAGCCAGGTGATGGAGGAGACACGGTCAACACCACTCTAGTTCCATCCCCCAGGGTGCCTGCCCCACCCTCTTCTCATTGTCTGCCCTACTATGACCCTCACTCTCCCCAAACATCACTGACTCTTCCTTCCTCTGAGGTCCCAGACCCTGGACACGCCCCTCAGGCACGACAGATCTTCATGTCCAAGGAGAGCAGTGCATTAATTCTTCCACTAGTGCGTGGACCTGGTCTGGTGAGGGCCCACCCCTCCGGGCCTCTCTGCTTTCCTTCTGGGTCCCCCGCCTTCCTTCTCGGATTCCCAAGAGCTGATGGGCAGACTTGGAAGAAAAAACCCTCCCCTTCCTGTTTTTCCACTTCAAGCCCGATATGTCGTGCCCCTCTAGGTTTCCGTGTGATGTGCGAGACGTCTGCCAGAGCACTGGCAGATTTTCACTTTCAAACCTAATCTTACGACCCTGTTTTGGCGCCACTCCCAACTTCCTGCATTTTAGCCAAATGACAAATGCACTCTGCAGAGCGCAGAGCCAAATGCTCTGAACAAGGGAGGGGTTACAGAGTGCCTGGTGGCCAGGGTCTCTGCACGGTGAGTTCCGCTTTGGTGAGTAGGACCGGGGCAGGGGTTTGGGAAAGGCAGGCTTTCTTCAGGGAGGATCTGCACCTGTGGGAGATGAGTGCCAGGGAAGAGGGTTTTGTGAGTCCGACCTTGAAGAGGCCCTATTGGTAGGTGGAGCAGGTAATTTCCTCTGTGAATCCAGAAATCCTCTGTAACATGGCAGGGAGATGGCTGGGGATCCCAGATCAAAGTGACCCAGCCCTTGACGTATCATTTCCGTGAAGGACTTTACCACCAACTGGTCCCTAGCCAGCTGTCCACCACAACCTGCAGCCAGGCTCCTAGGAATGCAGACATTTCCACCAGTGACCGTGGAGTTCCCGCCTCACCTCTCAAGGCCGGTTTCATCTCTGACAAGCCACTTCCCAGAGAGTCAGAGGGCCTTCCATGGGTCACTCCCAGGACCCTCACTCATTCCAGCTACAGGACAATACTTGCAGTCAGGAAGGAGGGTCACTGGGGTCTGAGATGAACTCACCCCACCCCAACACCGCTTCTCTTCCCGAACTGATGGAACCGCTGCTGCTGTTGCCTCATCTAAGCTTTTCCAAGAAGATCAGACCTTTCTCTGAAAATATTTTATTGATAAATTAACTCTGAAAGCGTTCACCTCCCACCCAACTGCTGTAGAGTCTCCTAGATGAGCTATGGACCCTTCTATGGGGAAGGATCACATGGAGGACAGGGAGGCTCACTCATACAGGAATGGGATTCCTGGGTATGGCAGAGGTGGGTTTGGGGACTGAAGCCGGTCTCGAGGTCCTCTGAGGACAGCCCCTCTCACTCAGCACCAGAGTGGGGAGTGGTGGTCAGGAGTGGAGCACCTTGGGGCTTTATTGCTGGTGAATGCCAAGGAAAGTGGGACCCCTGCCAGCCTAGAATTGCAGCAGAGGGCATCAGAGCCCAGGGCTCCAGAGGAGGTGGCACTAATTCCCAATCAACAGAGCCTGGCTGCTGACCCACCCACCCAGGGACCCCTGGATGGAGAAGGAAGCGGGGAGAGGTATCTGAGCCAGGCAGGATTGAGGAAGGGTTACAGTGTGCAGGTCTCGGGCAGAGCAGGCGCCAGGAGGGGGCGTAGGCTGGTGCACCTAGGGGGGGCGCCTCTTCACAGGTCTATGGTGTCGCTGCCCACGCTCAGCTCGTCGATCTGTCGGCAGGCGTCCAGGAATTGCTCCTGCAGCAAAGCTTCTGCGGCCTGCAGCTCAAGAGTAGGCTCTGGGGAGTCGCGGGAGGGGGGGGACAGGGCCTGGTAAGAGCCTGAGCCCGGGAGGCTAGGGCTGCTTCCCGAGGGCCGCGGGGGACTGAGGACGCAGACCAGCGGACAGCGTGGAGGCCTGTCGGGGCTGGAGCATAGCAGCATGGACGAGCTGTCCCTCGAAAGTCCGCACAGTGAGCCGGAAGAGGCGCTGCTGCCCGCGGGCCAGGCCCCGGGAGAGGGGAGCTCCTGCGGTGCTGGAGAGCCAAGGGCCTCCTCAGACCTCTCATTGGGTCCGGCCCCGGTCTTCGCCCCCAACGAGGCGGTGCGGTAGAGGCCCAGCCCAGGCAAGGCTTCCCCGTAGGCAGGGCCCTGGAAAAGGCCGGGAGTGAGCAGGGCCTCGCTGCAGAGGGCCTCCTCAATGCTGCGCCGCAGGTTGATTGGGGAGGGCGGGCGGAAATCCACGGTGTAATCGCTGCAGGGGGAGGAGGCCGGAGAAGGGGCCGGGTTGGCCGCCGCGCCTTCGAAGCCCCGGCAGCCGCCTCCCTGGAGTAGGAGGTCGGGGCCCGGCCCCGCCAGGGCGCACAGCTGCAGCAGCTCCGCGTCGCCACGCGCGATGGCGCCACCCAGGGGCTCCTTGTCGGGGGGCCCGGTGACCCAGCCCCCGGGCAGCAGCGGGGCCGCGTGGCCCGGGGACAGGCGGAAGAGCTTGGCCCAGCAGCGCGGCGGCACACGGGGGCTGCAGAGCGCCGGGTAGAGGCCCAGCAGCGCCAACGGGAGCGCGACGCCCACCTCGCCCAAGCGCAGGCCTAGCTGGAAGGCCCACCAGGGCCAGGGTCCCTCCAGGCCAGGTTGGCCGCCATAGCCCAGGGCGTGCAGCACTTCGTAGCCCTGCAGGGCTCCGCTCAGCAGCCCGAAGGTGCCCGCCACCGGGGCTGTGCGGGCCGCGCGCCGCCAGGACTCGCGCGGGGCGAAGGGGCTGCGCGCCTGCGGCAGAGGGGTGGCGCCCTTGAAACCAGACCCTCCCAGGGGCGCTCCGGCCCGCCGCCGCCTTCCCCCCCAGCAGGAGAGCGCCAGCAGAAGCCCAGAAAGGAGGGCGGCGAGGAAGGCGTGCAGTCCGCGGGAGGCGAGCCGCAGGGGCCGCAGCGGGCGGTGGGCCGCGCTCCCGAGGGCGGCGGCGGCCGCCAGCCCCAGCCCCAGGAGCAGGAGCGCGGCCAGCCCGGCGGGACACCGCG